GGCAGGCTTGTTCCACTTGGGGGGCGGTGGAGGACAGTTAAAGGCCTCTTCATTTTGTGGTCCAAGATTTTCGGGTAATTTTTGTACAGCTGATGTACTTATCAGAACCTCCCAAACTTCACAACCCTGCCTCTCATTTTTAGGCAAAAATATGAAACACTGAAAAGCTCCCCAAGAAACACCGGGCTAGACTCTGCATAGAGCACCACCACGGCTGAGCCACATTTCCTCTTACAGCTAACGAAGCCTAATTTTGCTAACATCCCAGTTCTCACTCGATGTCCTGTGGTTCTGAGAAAATCACTCAGCATTTCTATTTCCGGCAACGTTAAATAATTCCCTTTACGCGTCCCGAGGCCCCGAGTGAAACAGCAACGCAGATTTAGACACAAGCCCTTATGCTCTCACCCGGGCGAGCGGGAGTCTCAGGGTAAACGCTGCAGACTCGCCACTCGGAGATGCAGCTCACTTCCAACATCTCCACGTGTGTTCCCCCACCACGACAGTCCATTCCTAGAAGGCCCCCAGGCCCTGTGCAGCCAGGAGACCCAGGAAGTCGCCCAGGCACTGTGCCCCTGAGATACGATTAGAAAACAACCAGTGCAGAACGCATGCGAGATGCCAGGCGCTGGAGAGCCCCTTTAGCAAGGTGACTCCTGAATGACTAGCCCCGGCAGAGCCGGCACCGCACGGAAGGGCTGGTGATTTCCAGTGCCGCCAGGGAAGCCCAGGCCACCTCCGTGGGCTCAGGAAGACAGCCAGTTTCCTGGGTCCAGGGATGGCACTGTGAGACCCAGGAGAGGCCTCTGATCGGAGGAGCTCTCACTGCGTCACTCCCATGAATATTCCTGGCACCATCTCAGCAAGCTCCCCCTGTGACAGGCACAACAGGCAGGTTTTTTATTCAATGGCAAATAGCGTTGTAAAAACTTTATTAACGCCTCTGCTGTGTCACGGCCATATTAATTACAGGCCTGTGGGGCCATGGTATGGGAACTCCGCCCTGAGGGACGCTGTGTTTTTGGAGAGGGTAACCCAATTACACACCGTCAATCCAACGGCGGCTACTTACAGTAACAGTAATGCCCGAATCTCACGGTTATGAGGCTTCCCCTATAAGGCTCAGAGTGCTCCACGGATGTGTTCTAATTAAGCGGAGGGCCCGGCCTCAGTTACCATCACCATGCTGAGAGGGCCTCCCACGCGAGCACGCACGAGGCTGCGAAGTGGCAGACAGACCTGAGTCCGTACAGCACCGTGCCGTCAGGGTGAAGGCGGATCATGCGGTTTTTCACTGTCACTCCGTGCACAAAGGACTTCTTGTCATTTAGGAAGTAGGTGTCAGGCACCCACAGCTGGTCGGCCACTCGATTGTCAAGCGTGAGGTTGAGAGGGATCCCAGAATAGGCGAGCCTTTTGTCTCTCCAGTATTGTTGAAAATACATGGTTAAGGTGTAATCCTGGGGGAGAGAGAAAAGAGAAGCCGTTAGAAACCGGTGTCCCGCCCTCAGCTGGCCAGATTCCAGCTCAAGTCTTAGCCCCCCGCGCCAACAGCAGGACAGGCCGCTGCGCCTGCAGGCTGACAGGCAGTGGTGGCGTTGCTGAGGGTGCAGATGCCGGCTGTACCGGGCACACGGACAGGTGTGTGTCACGCATCTGCATCCTCCGTTTTACTTAGGAAAAGAACCTCCGGAGGTGACCACAGAAATAAAGGCCAAAACCAACCAACAGGTGAAAAAAACAGGTTGCCGCAGCTGGCAGGGAACGGGACATCCCCAGATACACAGGTGCATTCACCACCCACAGCGGTGAGCGCTAGCTGCAGACCGTCCGCAAAGGAAGCCACTTCCTGCAGCTCGAAGGGGAGGTGGCATGTGAGGCGGGATTGTGCAGGCAGAGTGGGGGGACCCCCGCCATGCCCCCTCAGTTGAGAGCCACATGGAGCAAAGAGGTGGCACTGAACACTGTCTCGGGGAGGCAGACAGCAGGCAGGGCTAGAAACCACACGGGCACACTGCTCTTACGGCGTCGACAGAAGCCCTGAGTGGTGGGCTTTGCTGGAACGCAGGGTGTGGGCGAAGAGTGCAGAGTGGTGGCCAAGCTCAGACCCCATGGCTCTGGCCAGAGGTAGAGACGCTCGAGGGTCAGCTTTGCAGCCAGCGAAAGCCCCGGACAGCCTCCATGCAGCGGAGTGGCACAGCCGACCGGTTGACCAAGTCTTTTATTCCTGTGTTCTGATGCTTCAGTACCTGGGATCTTGCTGACCATGTGGGGACGGTCCCTCCCAGAGCTGGCCAGTTCCCGTACAGGAAACAGCTCTCGGGGGAGGTCACCTTCCACGTGCAGCCCAATCAATCCAGGGCCCAACCACCTCCTCTGCCTTCCTCTGAGGCCACCATCCGCTGCCCTCAGCCCATGGGGGCCAGGGACCAGCTAGCCGAGCAGCCCTGTGCCCCAGAGCCAGCGAGGGTACTCAGACCAGCCAGCACCCAGCTGCCGCCCTACCTGTCTCGTCCCTTCCCAAGAAAACACAGTAAATGCCTTCACGCCTGGAGCTCCCTCTTCCTCTGTCCACCTGCTGAGCCCCCGTGTGCCCTATGGCGTGGTGTGCCCCCTCCTGGTAGGGACTGGGAGGGACTCCCGTCCTCTCTTCCGCTGGCCTTGCCAGACCTGGGTAATAAGACAACCTACACCGTGAAACTGCTGAGCAGGAGCTGCAGGAGGCTACAGTTCCAGACAATGCTGCCACTCTGGGGCCCAGACCCCAGACCAGCACGCAGTCACCCATGCTAACATGTCACATCGTTACACGGAGACTGGGAGACCCCCAGGTAGAGCAGACGTCCCTGAAAATGGGAAGGAAGAGGGTGGGCGAGGTCCATCTGGGGAGGTGAGGACAGAGCTGCTGGTTCTCATGGCTTGAGGAGGAGCCCTGACTACAGGGACGGGCGCCAGGCAGGCCTTCCTGAACGGGAGCAGCCAGGAGTCGAGCCTTTACAGATCAGAGACTGTCCCTTAAAAGCCCCTTAGACAATTTGGACGTCAACAACATCGAAGTAACAACATGAGACCTCCGCTGGGGCTCAGGTGTGTGACCCAGGCGGCTCGAAGCAGGGCAGTAATTCGCGCGGGCCACGGTCCACCCTGCCTGTGTGCAAACCTCTCGCATTTGTTGCATCAAAACGACAAGAAAACATATTGGAAAGGAGAAACGTTGCTCCTTATTCTGCGCGTAGGTAACTGACGAGATTCCTCAGCACAGCTGTGAAGGGAAGGCGACTACCCCGAGAAAGACGTGCAGTCTCCCGGCCAAATCCAGCGTGGCTGCAGCTGTAAGGTCCACGGGCACCTGCATTTGCAGCTGGCTCGGCAGCGTCCGGTCAGAGAGGGTGGGGCGTCGTTCCAGAGCTTACAGAAGCCCTAGGCAGCGACGTTGCTGCAGGCATTTCTACAACCAAAGTTAGGCCGAGGGAGGCTTGGCACTTCAACTAACAAAATTTACTTAGGAAATTCTGATCTATTCCATTTTAATGGCCTGGAAATGACTACCCAGCATTGCAGGAACCCTTCCTCCCACGCAGACTCGGAGGAGACCGAGGTCTCCCTGTGGTGAAGCCACACGCTGCCGTTTCCCGCTTCCCTCTCTTCCTCTCTCCCTTTTGCCTCAAGCACTCGGTGAGTGTCCACCATGAGCCAAGAACCAGGCTGGGCTCCAGGGACCCACAGAGAAGGAAGACACAACCGCAGCCTTTAAGCAGTTCCCAGTCTAGTGGGGAAACGAAAAGAATTGATCCACGGAAAATGAGAATGATTACGAGGGTGTTTTGGAATCAGCCACGCTGGAGTCTTGGGTCGGCCTCCTACTGACCTTGCAAACGGGGGTGGGGGCTACTTGGCTGTCTGAGGTGCTGCCGTCCCTGTGCAGGCTGCCACATTCTGAAGGGGTAGCGTGGGAGCACCCGGCTCAGCAGCACGTGTGCAACAACGCAAGGGCAGTGCACGCCCGGGCTGGCCCGGCAGCACAGGGCCGACTACAGTTCGAATCCCAGCCCAGCGGTTTGAAAACATGCCAGATGCTTGTGTGTGCATCCCTAAGTCCTGACGGGGTAGAAATGGAGGGAAAAGGGTTGCGGCACAGCCACGTCCCAGGGGGGCGTGCTTCCCTGAGTGCCACGTCCTCTGACTTACAAAGACGTATGTAAGGGACACACGCTGCCAGGGCTGGCAGTGGAGGGGACCGCTGTGCAAATGGGGAGAGGGCTGCCGAGCCTGTCTGCACCGCTTCCATCCTCTGCACCCCCGAAAGGCCCCCGGGACGTATGTCTCAGGCCTCCACCCATGTGCCACGCGTGTTCACACAGTGAGCTTGTCACCTCTGTTTGCCCTGGAAGGGCTGGCGAAAACCAGTGTCTCCTAAAGCCATCTGAGGAACTGGCGAGGGTAGGAACCGTGAAAAACACGTGAAAACACGTTTTTCTTCACATGCGTAGGAAGATACCACGGGTACCCTTCTGGAGTCACGGAAGTACAGAAAACACAACGGCTGTGCCGACCCAGGCCCGCAGGACGGGCACCTCGGGGGTCAGAAGACACTGTGAGAGCTCACCCTAAGCCAGCTGCACCCAGGAACAGCTGAGGGAGGTGCCCGTGGCTGAGGACGCGTCCCGCCCAGGGCTGGCCACCAGCGTTGCGGGGTGTGGCGGAGCAGGCTGGGCGGACCGCCAGCGGCACCTCTGCCGTGCGTGTACTTGGGGAAGTCGCTAATCACGCCAAGCCTCAGCACTCTCTCGTGCAGAGACTGAGCACGCTCACTTTGCGAAAGCGCTGGGCCGTTACTTGGCTGCATCGGAGGCCTTAGGAAGAGCTGCCTTCCCCTTCCGTTATCCGAGCAGGGCCGTCAGCCCTGAGAGGAGGTCCCGGCGCCAGGGCCCGGGACCCTCTCTATCTGGTGAACCCCACCATTTCACCATTCACGGCAGACATAGGGAGAAACCTGAGCGGGGCCGGCGTGGTGCGCAGCGGGACCGTGTGGGAAGGTGCCTGGTTGCTGTCCTGGGTCTCGCTGTGCATGCCAGGCACATGCGTGCAAGCCTGTGACCCAGGCTGGCTGAGGCTGGGGTGGAGCCCGGCGCAAAGATCCTGCTGGGACCTCCCCACGATGGGAGAAATAAACGGGCTTTAAAACATCCTCGGCCTGATCCTGCCGTATGGAAAGCCCGGGCCTAACCGAGGCTTCATTCGCTGCCTCTCAGCTCCCGGTTTGCACGCGAGTCAGGGCTACCAAGACACACACTTGCTTCCCGAGACGCACTGGACACCTCGCCTGCCTTCCTCTGCAGTGGGTTAGCCTCGAATCTCAAATGAGAGCTCAACACCATTGGAAAAGTGGCGACAGTACTAGTGAAAACACCCCTCCTGCCCTGCTCGCGCCTGGCTGGCTGTGCTTCCCCAGGGACCAGAGCTGGCCTCCCTCTCCCCGTCCATGGTGCTGTTACAGTGGCCCTTCCCCATACGTGACAGTCACTGAACGCCCCCTGCAGCCTCCTGGACTTGGCTGTGGGTGTCTCCCTGCAGCTCTGTTTAAAATTCACTCTGCGTCAGGGCTCAGGTGGTCACTGAGAGAGCATCCCTCTTTGCCCAGTCCCGACTCTTCCTCCTGGGGGTCCGTGCTCCGTCCTGTCTCCCTGAG